GCTGGCTGAGGAATTCTGGGAGGTGAAGTCCACAAGTCTTAAAGTTGCCAAGGTTGGACACCCTTGCTCTATACTTTAGGAATCTGCAGTGATTATCACTGTGGTGAATGGAGTCAAAACAAATGGTGGAACAAATAAATGTGTACTACACTGACTGACTCAGCAAATGTCCACCATACACTGACAAATATCGAACCCTGTTTATGATGCAATTATTCCACATTAAGAAAAAATTCTCAAGACAGTATGGGCTATTAACAGTTATTCTAATGTAGGGGTCCCCAGCTCCTGGTTTGCAACCCAGTACTTGGCCATGGCTCATTTGGAACCAGGCCACAAGTGGTGGGCAAGTCTATTTCACTTACGCGAACAGCAGGTGTGTTCACAAAGCTCCATTAGCATGAGCAGCAGGTCATGCACTCACACAGGAACCTTCATTTGCGCAAGCCCGCCACTTGCACAAATCAAGTTGCACGCACCTGTCGCTCACACAAAACCATACCTCTTATCGTTCCGCAGGTCTGCCAAGCCAGAAAGGTTGGTGACGGCTGTTCTAATGACAGTGTCATTTCTCTACTGGGGCATATTCACAAGAAAGTATTTTGCAGTGTAATATGTCACTTCCATAAAGTCAAACTAACGCTAAGGCTGGGTTACCTGAGGTACTGTTTAATGAAGGACTTGTTTCAAAGTGAAGGCAACATGTACAGCATGGTAAGACAGTAAGCAAAAATGGGAAAGATATTGCCATTGCTGCTCTGTAGGCCAAATTACTATTGGTAAGTAGAAACTGCAGGGATTTTTTTTATTGTGGATTGATTATTTCACTCTCTGACTTAAGGACAGAATGCCTTTCTAAAAGGAAATGTACCCTCATGTTCATGTTCTTATCACAAAAGATTAATGTGTCACTAAGAAAATTATAGAATATCCTGGATTTATTCTGAAACCTTAGTAATTATATAAATATACCAAAAACTGCTTGTAATATCAGCGGTTAAGATTAATTTCTTTTAATTTTCAATATGCCAAAGTAAAGGGCCTGAATTTACCAATATAAAATTCTACCTAGGGCTTAAAAAGGTTATGGCTGAAAACAAAAATAACAAAGAGAAGCTTAGGTATTATGTAAAGCTGTTATTTATCTTCCATTATTACAAACTCAGATTTTGAAGAAAAAAAACTTTTTTTTTACTTTTAATGTTTACTTTCCTGACTAAAACTTGAGGTTCTGGCTGCTTACCTCAGAAATCTATAGTAGAAAAACAGACAAATCTTATTTCCTTCTTATAGTACTCAACTTTAGGAATTAGCATGTTATGAACAGACTTCTGGCATCCATTTATTATGCTTAGTTTCTCCTTTCACCAAAACTCCATTTCACGAGATTTTTGCAGATAGATCTTCCCCTTTTTTTTCTTAGCATAACTATTAAAATTACAGTGTTACCAAAGGAAAATTTGGGGAAAACAGAGGTGCCTATTGTTACCTTAGGCTGGCCCTCCCTCCTCTGGCCTTTTCTTTCTTTGCCCTAAAATTGTATCAATGGCTCGGGTTCGGCTGTACAAAGGTCTAGCTCTGGCGAATATAATCTGAGGGCCAGCTTCCAAGAGACCTGGAAAATGGAAAAAATGGCTTAGCCTAAAGCAGGTCCCTTGATTATTTTATTTTATTTCGCACTGAAGCCTTTCTTCTTAACTTAAAAACATCCCAATACAATTGGTAAGAGACTCATGAGAGACCAAACATGATGACATTTGCTAATATAGCAGAAACACACAAAAGTTTCCACTGGTATCGGTCCTTTTCATATGTGAAAAAGATAGTTCCAACTCTAAAATGAATTCAGTACAAGAAAATGTGAAACCAAATGTTTTCTTTAAAAAAATAGAATGGTCATTGGAAACAGGGGGAAAGAAACCTCCATAGCAGAATAAGTGTGCATTGTAAGACTCTTTCTAATGAATGTGGAGATACAATCATCCTTTTTCTGTGGCCTGGATACATTTTTTCTTCCATTAACCATTTCTCTTTTCACCATTTCTAGATTTTTCATTTAAAATGTCATAGCAAGGCACCTTTCCTACTGATGAGAAGTAAACAAGCCTTTCTTGGCATTTCCTGGTTGCATCAAGGAAATTTTATCTATCTTCTACTAGTAAGCCGATTATAAGATACATAAAGACAGATGGAATTGCAAAAGTGAAACAAAAGGCAGCATTTAAATGAATTCGTGATAGCAGAGTCCTAGTTCGCTCACCTGTGGAGTTTGCAAGTGGCTCACAGGATGCAGCGCTGTTAAGGCTATTCTGGAATCCATTCAGCTGCCTTTCTGTAGAGGTTATGCTGCCAGACAAAACACTGAATTAGAAGGCAGCACTGAAAAAAATATCATCTGAGGGAGAAAAATTATTCTAATGTTCTGAGACAAAAACATCAACCTTTTTCCAGACCATTTTTCCCTGTAATAAATACGTAGCTGTTAGAAATGTTAGAGAGTCTGCCTTCCCCACCAGGTAAAGTTATTTTTTCCATTTAGCCCCCTACTGTTCAGTTGGCATCAGATTGCTAGAGGCTTTGGAGGAGGCAGTTGTTTGCTGCCTTTTTTCTCAAGGAATTTATGTTACATAGATGAAGCATTTTGCTCGTTTCATATCAGAGAAAAAAGCCTGAAAATGTTGAGTGCTATGAGGTACAAAGATAGCGTTTTTGTTTGTCTTTTTATATCTCACCTTTATTACTTTTACAAATAGCTCAAGGTGCCAAACATATCCAATATACCTTCCTCCCACTGGCCCAATAATGTTGCTTATATTTGGTTTAGGCACCAATTCAGGAAGAAAGCACCTATTATTATAGCTTCTGGGCCGGGGTGCCCATAAAATTTGCATGAATATAATCTAAAAATGTTTGCCTTAATTAAAAGAACTTGATTTTTATTGATAAGGAAAGAAACATTTCTATGCAAAATGCTCATTGTAAGAGCTATAGAAGTCATAGAAAAATTCTTGAGCACCTTCCAGTTTCAGATGTCAACTTCCAAAATTCTAAGGAACGCTTCTATTGGTAAGTTGGTTGAGGAAATCTGGTAAATAAAAACCCACATGCCAAGGACACCCAGATTGAGGAAAACTGATGTTTAAACATACATACAAGGTGGGTAATCACAATAAGCACGTGCAGTTTTGACAAGCTGTGTATCTGCCTAAATCAGAAGTAAACAACCCCTAGAAGCCAGAAGAACACATTAAAAATGGCTTCTAGCTCCATAAAATTTCTGTTGAAGTTTGGGAGTCAAATAGATAACTTAAGGAAAACGACTAGGTCAAGAAATAGCTAATTTAATTTACCTTGAGGCCTTTTATTAGTTTTCCCCATTTTCTCAAACACATATTCCTTTTAATTTTATTTTACCTGAATAGTTGTTTCAGATCTTTTTTTTTCATTCAGTTTTAGACACATATTACATCTGAGTTGTCCTTTGAAGATTAAAACTATTTCTAATAAACTACCATAATTAGAATTAGAACATGGATGAAAAGCCATCAAATATAACTAGATGCTACAAAGATACAAATCAATCCATGCAACAATTTCAACTTTTCACAATGAAAAAGATGCCTTGCAAGAACTGTTTCACCTCATTTTGCACAAACTGTGCATACACATACTTATATAATTTGGAAACAGGAGTACAACCATGTTCTTTCACAGCTTCAATACGTCTGTAATATAACGTCAATATGATTGACTTCAATCCCAAAGAAACATAAAAAGCTATAGAAGTTCCTTTCATATGAAATGGAGAGAAACATCTAAACTATGCCATTTTGAGCCATGCCACTCAATTATTTAAATCATCTAGTAATGTCTTAAATCCCAAACAATATCCAAATATAATACCTAATATTTCCTATTTACACATATAAGTTCTTCCATTTTGATAGACTTGGTTAAAAGAAAAAATAAATCAAGAATTTGTTTTTAGAAATAAAAAATTTGTCTTACATATGATGAAATAAACAAAGACTTTAATGCTATTTTGTTTATGTTTTTTCTGAACTATGAATCCTGTGTGATATTTGATTCTTAACACTGGTATCTCTCTATATGGTTCCTCAAAGTAACATGCAGAGATCTTAGTTGTTGTTGCTTATGATGATACAATAATCAAACAATAAAACCTATTTTTGAAAATTCCCAAAGGATATATTGATTTCTTCATCATTTATAAGCTGTCATACAAAATTAAAAGTCCTGGTATGTCTTTCCTAGACTGAAGGAAGCTCCTGTTCCTAAACTGATACTGAAAATTCTATATGTCAAAATTAGAAGGTGAAAAATAGTTAATAATATAACTAGAAAAGAGACAGATTATTCTTGGGCAAAAAACTGGAGAAGCTAGAAAAAGGACTTTCTCCTTAGGTCTTAAGTGACTGGTAAGAAAAGTATCTCAAACTCTGCCTACAGCCTGGAGTTTGATCCTGACTGGCTCAAGATAGACTCAGCCTTCCATCCTTCCAAGGTCAGTAAAATGAGGACCCAGATTGTTAGGGTCAATATGCTGTCATTCTAAAGCATATACCAGAGGTGGTATATAAATGCTAATGCTATATGCACAAAGATGGAATAATTTGAGATTACCCACAATGGAGGAATGGATAGTGAATATGATGGAACTTGCTGAAATAGCCAGACTGAAGCTATGATCAGAAAAAAGTTATTATCCAAGTTTAATGGTGACTGAAAATCTCTTAAGAGACTTTTTGCATGAAACAGAAAGGAAATTATGACAAATGCTTTTCATGATTAGAAAAAATAGATCATAAAAATGCAATTCATGTTGCAGTGATAGAGTAAGAGGATAACTTACACTTATATCAATAACAGTTAAAAAGAAAATCAGAAGCTATTTCATTATTTTTTTCTTTATGTTTTCTTTTTTCTAGACTTTGGGTTTTCTTTTTTCCTTTTTCTCTCCTTTTCCTCTACAGTAGTGTAAATTATTTAGATCTTGTTACTTTTCATCTTTCTTTTAAATTTTTTAAACATATAAAAGAAACCTTGGTGGAATTCAAAATCAAGCTGACATAGAAACAAAAAAACCAAATTATTTGTTCTAAATGGCTGAAGAATGGAAAATCATGGTCTCAAACCATTCAGGAAATACTTTCTTCTGAAGTGTTTTGAGCCAGTGGAAATCTCTCCTGTACGCAGAAAACTTGATCTCCCCCCGCCCCCTTTTGAATCGGTTTATAGCTAGGAAATATAGAAGGATACATGAATCAATGAACCAAATCCCATAAAGAATTTTTGTGGAATCAACCTCAGTTTTGTGGGAATATATTAGGAGCCCCTATTTCTATATACCTCACATGGAGCTAATTATGTAATTCTATAAATGGCCAAGAGAGACTTGGAGACTATACTATATCCTGACAAATAACTCTGAAAATATGTCTAGAATGACTTCTGGTACCCTTTGATAATTAGACTGTGTTCTGAAATTGTGTTCTTTGTTCTGAATAATTGTTTTTTTCCCAAAGTGTCTTCCTTCTTTCCTCTTTTGTGCATTTTTGAAGCCAAGCTTTTTCCAGCTTTCCCACACTCTTGTATGTCACAGAGTAGAAACCACAAAAACACAGTTAAATAAAGTCTGTCCAGGGAACTGCAAATCTATCTCAAGAAGATAAACATATTCTTTGCCAATATGTGAGTGCAGCACACCGGCATCTTCAAATATACATCTTATTGCTTAGCAAGCACTAGAAGCCACTGAAATGACTTGTCACCTGAACTGACACATTCTACTCCCAACAGAGAGAAAAAAAATCACCCATCAATTTGATTAGAATGTCCACTTGTCAAAGTTACCAAGCATTTATCAAATTTGTCTGAAAGAGGACTCAAAGTACAATTAGCAGCTTAACTTATCTCAAAGATCATGATGACTAAGAAAATTTTAGCGTAGCTGACCAGAAAGAGCCCATTGATTTAAAACAAAGACCTACTGATTGATAAGCTAGGCATAAATCCAGGACAGATGCCTTCCATTAAATATGTATATATAATAAGGTCAAAGATCTTCTGGCAGTGGCTGGTGACCCAATTTTTTAACAGTCTTGAATCCAGGTAAACAAGATATTTAAGAAAGTGTTGAATGAGAAGTTGATTTCCCCCAGAAGGGGTTATATCATTCTACATCAGCTAAAATATAAGGCCATAAATCAAATAAATTAATTTTGAAAATAATGAAACATTTCAATAAGGAAAGATACTTTTTAATCTCAAAATGATAGTTTGAAATCCTAAAAATGATACAGTAATCCAGTGGGCAAAAATGAAAGTGATGATGAAAAGCAGAAATAGTTGCAATGTTCATCCTAACAATAAAATCCATTCTTTGGGTACTGTGAAAGACACTGACTATAGAAAAGATTCTATAGTTAAAATAGATAGTTTGATGGTGCCCTCTGGCTGGGCTCAGATAATTTCTCACATAGGATTTTTTAATGTTCTAAACAGGTGTGATGAAGCAAGTGTGAGAAACCACAGTGAAGACATTCTTTATTATCATCCCAGTAATAAACATGCTTGGATAAAATTAATTTTGAAGGGATTAGTTGCCTGCAAGTTCACTGGCACATCAGGACTATCCATGTTTTGGCAACTCTGAACTATATACATTTTTCTTCTTTAGAAAACAAAATGGACTTACTTATTGGCGATTAGGAACTTTTAATCTCTCTTCCCCTGTCAATATCAACATCAACAACGGTATTATAAGCACCCGTTGCAACGCATACATATATACAACTTCCATAAAGCTCATCCAGTATCCTGAGCTTGAAATGATATTCTGAATACCTGTCCATCAATCACAAAATCTCTTATATTTGTCAAAGCGTCAAGGAATTGATCAAATACTGGACTTGATACAGATAATTCCAGACAACCCATCTGTGCAATATCCTTAATATATTTAATATATAGCGTAATACATTAATATATACTAACTAGCTATAAGATAGCAACCATTTTGTGGCTGGTACACACATTCCAGTGTGTTGGCTTTCAGCCTCAGATGCCACAAGAGGATTGATAGTGATATGGTATGGTATGATATCCTGTGTGGTGCAGACAAAAATCTGTCTGTTTGTTTGTTTGTTTAGAGAGGGATAATTGGAAATATGTATTGAAAATAGCCACATTAATTTTGGAAAGGCATAACTGATCTATTTTACTCTGGTTTCACAAACATATAAATGGAAAAACTTGCTTCCAAAAATGGATTGCTTGCCATTAGCTTTTGATGGTACAGTTTTGAAATATAGTGTTTTATGTAAGATGAACAAAGCATGAAACTAGTGGGTCACTATTACCTATCCAAATTGTACTATCAAAATGTTTGGAGCAAATATTTAATTAGTGAACTATTAGCACATCGATAGTTTAGATAAGAAGCATAATATTTAGTGTTTACTGCTTATTTGAATGGTGTACATAAATGTGCTTTCCTCTAGGTATTACATGTAGATATGTGTATTTCACCTAATTTATAAGCAAGCTCATGCTAAAAATTGGAATCGTACTAGGTGTAAGTGATATATATTTCTCTCTTCTCTATTCAAAATCTACTGTAAGTGCATAGAATAGTTTAATATACTTTCCCAATATAGTTGAGGCAATCTTTGTCCTCTTAAGCCTTTGGGGTCCTGATCTCTTCCTATTATTTATTTGTTGCCTATTACCAAGAATTGCTCCAGAATTAATAATTAATTATTTAAAATTTAATTTTGAAGATGAAGATGTCTTCAAATGAAGCTTTACTCTTAGAAACTACATGAATAAAACCACATGGTTTTCATGGCAAACCATATGAAATTTGCCACTGTTTTTTATTGAATTTCTTATTTCTTATTGAATGTTCTTTTGATTTCTAAGCCTACAATCATAGACCTGACCCTGCTTCGTTTCCAAGCTTCTAGAGAAAGTGGGCCTGGACTTAGTAACACTAGGGCAAGAACAAGCAAAGATTTATAACAGGCTTCACATCTCTAAAAATGGAGGTACAATTTACAATAAACTTAGGGAGATAATGTATAATGAGAAATTTAAAAGGCTGACGCTAATTAGTCCAGGAAAAAAACAAGGAAACCATTACAGATAGTCCTAACTTCACTAATTAAGCAATTATTTGAAATTATGACAGTGCTGAAAAAGTAACTTTAGAACTGGTTCTCATACATTACACCATCCCTCTGGTGACATGATCGAGATTTGGGCACTTTGCAACTGGTAAACGTTTATGACTTTTGCAGCATCCCAGGGTCACATGATCATCATTTGCATGCTCAACAGCTGGCTTCCAACAAAAGGAGCAGCAGCAAAAACTGCAAGTCACAATCACATGGTATCTCACTTAATGACTGTGGTGATTTGCTTAAGAGTGCAACAGAAGTGAGTTGATCAGTCTGTCACAGTTATGTATCTTGTTTAATGACCACATCACTTAGTAATGGATTTACTGGTCCCAATTGTGTGGTCATTAAATGAAGACTTCCTGTAACAACTGAACATAAAAGAAAATAAGTAAGATTCCATTTTTTTTAAAAAAAAGTGGATAACAAATTAATCAGATAATAGTAACTTAGAGTCATGCAACTAAAGTAACTTTAAAATTAAATAAGTACATACATACTAACATAATTAACTACAACTATAATCAATATCTTTCAGAAAGCAATTATTACAATAGGTAAATAAATCTGCAAAGCACAAATGAACAAAAGTATTGAGCATTTATAAATTAATGTATCTGTTTGTTATAATAGGCAGGGTCATAAAAATCCACCATATTCAGGAAATAAACCATATAATTTGTTGTTAAAATCCTGTAGGACAAATCCCAGATCTAATTGTATCCCTTAGATTAGTGTAGAAACTTCCTTATATCTACAAGAAAAAATCAGGGACACTTCCAAGTTAACCTATATTCATCTAAAATTTCAAAATCACTTCTGATTGAGAAATATAAACTTACTTGGATATTCTCTGAGATGCTACTTTCCTGATATTGACTGGGGGCTTAGGGACCAAATGTGAAGATGCACTCTGGGACGACATCACTTTGTGCAGACTAGATGCATTCTGGACTTCAGAAATGGAACTTGATGCTCTGCGACTACAAGAATTAGATGACAAGGCCGTAGAACTGAGACTGGATGCAGAACTGATATTCGATGTTGGGAAGCTGGCAAACAAAGCCTAGTAGAAAAGGGGTGGGTGGGAATAGAATTTAATTTTTAGGACTAATAGAACCGTTCAAATGATTAGATTTCTAATACGATATTTTCACTTCTGAAAATAACAAAATCATTGTTTTTGTAAATACTAATTTCACAATTCGCTGTATAATGGAGAAATGGTTGAATTTGTAACCCTCCTGTTGTACATGCCTTGCTTAGCTCTGTGTACCTTTCTGCAGACAGACAAGTAGCTCTGTCACCCAGTGGGAAGAGTCAACACAGCAACATTTAACAGCATAATTGTCGGAGGCTAAGGAAAGGTCAGAACTGTTTTTCTTGGGGGGAGCAGATATCCAAAAATCTTTTCTTTGTTTGTTTGGTTTTCTGGCTGCTGTGTGCTCCAATCAGCATACAGGGACGGAGGAATCTAACACTGACCCAGTCTTGAATTCACCTTCAAACAAAACTCCCCTGCTGTGGTCAACAGATGCTGAGGGGACAGGGGAAGCCAATTCGGGGGAGGTGGGGGAGACAGCAACGATTAAAAGTTTTGATTACAGAGGAAAGATTGACTAGGGTAAATATCACAGCAAACAAAAACTAAAGTGAACTAGAAACATTAATCAGACATGAATCAGCTGTAATTTGAGATGGAAGACAAAGGAAATTCATACAGATCTCCCTAGCAATAGTTTAAAAGCCAAAAATCTGTATTGTTTTTCTATGTGGAAAACATTCCTTATTTTACAATATTAGAAAACCAGAAAAATCAGAAACTTGTTGATGACTTAAGTAATGCATTTCCTCATAGACAATCCTGGATGACAAAAGAGGCATCTCAAGGTCAGCAAATATAAACTTTGTCCAGCATAGAAAAGTGCAATTAATACATCTGAAGAAATCAATGAGAGCTGTTGAATGTAGAGTATTCTATTCTATTAATAACTGAGAAATGGTGTGGAAAAGATAGGATAAGAATCTAACAGAAATATAAGTTTAATATGCTTTATGTATAAAACAACACATACTTCAAGAATTTGGCAACCAAATAAGTATGGAGCACCACTCTATTTCTTTCATCATTATTAACATTTAACATTTGTTATTTACTACTAAATATTTATCACTTGAATAGTTCTTTGCTGTGTGCATGTAGTTTTGAAACAGGAAGTCATATGGAACTTAGGCCAAATCAGACGATTCATTTCTTTACTGTTTTCTAACAAATCATCTTAATCAATGAAATCAGGCCAACACATTTTAGTGAGCCCTGGCCACATTTTTCTACAGTTTCTTTCAGTCAAAGACTGCTTAAGGGACGGAAGAAAGACCTATCAAATTAGTGATAGGCAAATTAAATCAAGATATTAAACCCAGCAACAGGATCTATTTTTTTAAAGAATGTTTCTTTATTCATGTTGAAGAAATTGTTTTCTTGAAGAATGATTCATACCAGGTTGAAAATAGTGCTAGGTGATTGTTTTAACAGCAGATATGTAAGCTGCAAACTACCACACATACATATGTGCATTTCAAAGCCAGAACAAACCCTGCTTGCACTCAGAAACATTCACAAAGTTGCGTGTGTGTATCCCTACCAATTTTCTGAAATATGACCAAATGACCAATCTAATTTAGTAGTTTGGCCACAAGCCAAAAAGAGGCACCTTCTACCATGCTCTCCTGAGCAAGAAATCTTTAAAATGTCTGTTAGAATAGATAAATATTAAGAAACTATTGCAGTTTGCACAACGTTGGTTCAGTGACTTATCCAAGAAATGCTTGTGACTAAGTCCAAACCACAATTTACACAAATAACAGCTCATAATATGCTATACATGGCACCATTCTATATAATGAAATACACCCCCCCCAAAAAAAAAGAGAAAACATCAACAACAACCACCCAGTACCATTCAGGCAGCAGGAAAAAAAAAAGAACCGAAAATCTTATTTCCTATCATTGTGTGAACAGAAATATAATTGTCCATGTATTCCAAGCCAAAACCATGTACAGGACTTTGATTCTCCTGTTAAAAGAAGAGTCTCTGGTCTTTGTCATCTCATTTTGCAAATGTTGATTTGGAAGTAGTCAGAACAGACCTACAAATGGTTTGAACTTTCCAACAACTCTGTGGAAATAACTGGAATTAATATTTGGGAAAGAGAGCTAGCATATTATCCTGGAAGACCTAAAACAGAGCACACTCCCTATCTTTGACCTCCACCTTAGGAAACTCCCCTTTTTTGTTGTAAACGTTTGGTCGAGAGTGTTCTGCTTTGAGAGTTCCTGCTCCGCAATAAAAACTAGTAAATATTATGATGCTGCAAGATTTTGGTGGTCTGTTTCAAGGAGGGCTAAGTAATCAGTGAAGGGTTTTCTCCATAAAGGTTCTCACTGTCCCAGCCAATATGATTAATGGTTGGATGTAGGAGGCTCTGCAGGCTTCTTCCCCATTCCTGTTTTAAAGGAAGTGACAGAGATCAAATGCTGAGAACTTGGAACTGGATGAGAGGGATTTGGCTCAGGGTTGATAGCTTCTTGTACTATTGCAGTTTCTTCTGCATCTATAGTTTTCTTTTGTTGTTGTTGTTAAGGGAGATCCTCAGATACAGATTGTCCTCGACTTACAGCAATTCATTTAATGGCCATTCAATGTTACAACAGCACTGAAAAAAGGTGATTTATAAGTATGACTGTTTTCACACATATGACCACTGCAACATCTTCATGGTCATGTGTTCAAAACTCAGATGTTTGGCAACAGGTTCATATTTATGCTGGCTACAGTGTCTACAAATCATGCAATCACCTTTGGCAACCTTCTGATGAGCAAAGTCAATGGGGAAGCCAGGTTCACTTAACAACCATGTTACTAACTTAACAGCTGTTGCAGTGATTCATTGATAACTGTGACAAGGTAGGTGTTGAGGTAATTCCCCGATAGGAGAATGAGCGCATGCAGGGAGATGTATTTGAGAGAAGTGTTTGAATAATACACACACAGTACACAGATACACTGTACAGTAAATGTAGGTTTTTACTTCCAGAAAGTTTAAGCAAAGTTCAAGATAAGCAGTCCAAAAGTCATTCACAGGTAAATCAGTCAGTTTTTCAATCCAGGGATAATCCAGTAACAAAGTCCAGTGTCAAAAACAGTTCAGTATCAAACTTACATCAAATTCAGTAATATCGGTTAATTAGAAGAAATGGAGGAACGGCAATACTTTCCAACAGAAGGAAACAGAGATATACTAACACTCTCTTCTGAGACCCAGACTAAACAACCCAGGTTTCTTGCTCCATCTTATGGCCGTTTGAGAAACCACACCTAATTACAGTTTTGCATTTTCTTAAAAGATACAGTTTTAAAATGTTTATCCTGGTTTATATATTTCTAACCCAAATACCTGTTAGGTGACTTATATTCCTAACAGTAGGTTTTTAAATGGGGCAAAATTCACTTAACAAATGTTTCACTTAGCAACAGAAATGCTGGGCTTAATTGTGGTCCTAAATCGAGGACTGCCTGTATTTGTCAGAATTCATTGTTCATCTCTCTCACTTCCCCATAAAGACAGTAACTATTGGGCCATTTCCCTAAATGAATTAATAGAAGAACAAGCACGTAAGCTGCTATGTTCTAAACAGAATGCCAAATTCATCCTCCTAAAGGCCAGACTCTTCTCTTTATGAATGATTCTTTTCGGAAGCTTTAAAGTAATTGCAGGCATCTACAAAAGCCTCCTCCATATTAGACCATGCTAGCAGCTATGTTTTGTTTAGGAACATGTTTCTCCTGTCCCACAGAGAGAGAATTGATCAACATAGCTTATTCCAGCATCTAACAAATACATTTGAGCCAGGATACAAGAAGGTGGCAACTGAGAGGCATACCTTCTCTCAGTTACTTGGGGTGGGGTGGGGGAGGGGGTTGTGTTGGTGCTTTAAAGCTCCATCCCCAAGCCTCAGGAATGTTGAAATTGATAAATATTTATTTCTTTATACAATACTTAGCTTAGCTTCGGTTGATTGTAAAAACCACCACCAATTCAAATTACTTTGGAAGGAAATTGGAGAAAAGATTAATAGTGATTGGACAGTAATTGGAGGGTATTACAAGAGTTTCCTGAGACACGTTCTTGACCAATGTACAGTATAGCATGCTTCATCAGATAAATATGTTTTGTCTTAGCTAGGAGATTCTTCTAGTTAACACTACCGGTATCATATTGCCTGAATAATAACATGGCCTACATATGCCTTGATTGACAATTTCTATTCAATTAAGTTTGTGTTTAGAATGCTGTGCATTATAACTGTAATTAAACCAGTTTGATTTGTATCAACTCCCTCAAGTTGCTTTGAACATAATCACAGAATTTATGTGGCTCCCCATTTTAGTCCTTATTATTAGGGTTTAACAGGCATTAACAACAAGTAACATAATAAAACTAGTAAATATATATCTTCACTCTCAGTTAAAATACAGCCTCCAGAATAAAGAAAAAAGTAACATAATAGATCTAGTACAATAAAAAGTAATCTTCCAAGGAAAATAGCGAGCAAACAAAAAATAACTTCTACACCTTTCATTCATAGGGAAGGATGACCATCCAGTGTTCCACAGTTTCAAACTTACAAAGATTCAAGTACTTCAGTATTTATATATTTCTGGAATTGCCAATGTGCATGTTTATTTCTTTGCACTAATACAATCCTGAAAGGATCTGACAATTTGTCAGCTTTTTAGTGTGTGTAGACGATTTTGTTTATCTCAACTTTCTTATTTGTGGAGTTGCATGGACTACCTCTTCCAGAACTTCTAACCGGCAAGGCCAATACATTTTCAAAGGCAGCAGTTTATGTAAAACTAATCTGTAATTCAGTTAATAAAGAAGTAAAAATTAAAGATTTCAGGATTTACAATTTAGAGTTACAATCCTAAAGATCTGCCTACAAATGCCAAACATTGAATCAATTATTATTTTCATATAAAACATGTGCTTAAAACTGAGTTAAACATCTTTCTGTATGTATAGCAAGCTGTATCTTAAATGCTTTAAAAATCAAAATTCTGGGACAAGTATAATGCATAGACCCTTTTCTTGGTAAAAGATGTGTAAAAAATACTGAGCAGAAAAACAATAATTTTAAAGGCTTATTAACAAAGCAATACAGATTCCCTCTCCTTTGCCCAGATAACTAGTTAGAGAGAGCAAGTTCTTCGTATTACAAGAATGTAAATCAACAACTCTTATGAATACTATCTATCTCAGGTTACATGCAAGAATTACTAAGATGTATGCCATACACACTATACAAATACTCTTTGAAGATCACTGATTCATGAAGAAAAAAGAAGCAAGAAAATAAACAGAAAGAAGACTCAAACTGAAGAACAGAGGGAACCAGAAGTTCCTAAACTATGAACCACAGAAGCCAGATCCAATTCCTTCTTCTCAGCTGTTACACTAAAAATACATTTAATACATTCTTGGCATGACTTTTGTATGTGGCCTACAAAAGTAATTTCCAAAGTAAGTTATAGCAGAGTGAGCTAAAGACAAAAGAATCTGAAAATAATGTAAAGAACCAAAGATAGTGAAACAAAAGGCATGGGCAAAAAACAAGGACAGCATATAAAAAGCTTGCTCTATACAGTACCAGAGAAATGAAGAATATTAACCATTTTAAAACAGTGGTTACGAACAATTAAATCATGACAGTATTCTTTTATTCTGATAGTTCAGAAGCATCCCTTTTAATTGAAATATGCACATTAGGAGATTTTCAACTTTTAACCGTGCTTGTGAAAGCACTTCCCCAATCAGAGTTAGTGTGTAATTTGGCCATCTTCCTGGACCCACGGTTCCTACTCAGAAAGGAGGTGGGAGTAGTTTAGGGAGCAGGGGTTGCACAGGTTCAGCTTCTGCACCAATTGCACCTTTTCCTGGTCCAGCAAGCCCTGCTCATGGTGACTCATGCCTTAGTCACCTCCAAATTCTACACTGAAACATTTGTTTTATATTTAATATTTAAGTGGTAATCATATTAAAAATGAGGAAGGGTCATAAGCATAACTATATATGTAACTATCATGCTTAATTTCTTATGAAGACCTGTCACAGAATATTTTAATAGGAACAATAGTACCCTATTATTCAAATGACCAATTAATTCATTGTAAAATAATACTTCATTTTAGCGTGTATGTGTATGTTGTTTTAATTATACACATTTAAATTAGCATCTATTATTTTCAAATACAAAACTGTTCCTGAATTGAAAATCCTTGTTATTTAATATCATGCAAGAAAAAAAATAATAGCATGAAAGTTTTAATAGGAGTTGCTTACAAACTGTTCTATAAACATTCACTCACACAGGAATTGCCATTATTATAGTCCAAGGAACTGAGATAACTACACAGCTATGTGGCCTAAGGTACCAGAGCATGGGGGAACAGGAGAAGACTCAAATTCTGTCCTTGTTCAAACATATTATGGATAAGACTATTAAATCTATTCCAGTTTATTTAAAGTGCAGAGATATCACAACAACAACAAAATATATATTGTCAACACAATGTTTTTTTGTATTTGCAACATTTGGCTCTAAAAGCTGGATCATCAGAAAGATTGAACAAAGAAAAACTGATGTCTTTGAATTGAAGTACTGACAAGAACTGTTGAGAGAACCTTAGAACCCAAGAACAAATCCCTCAATGCTAGAGGAAGAAAAACCAGGCACTTCATTGGAAACCCTAAATGATGAAGCTATAGCTGAAATATTTTAGACACATAACGTTGAGACGGCAAGAGTCACTGAAGACTACCCAGATCTTGGAAAAAGGAAATTTAAAAGGCTGATAGAAGATGAGATGGCTAGAAATTACCACCTATGGCACAAACATGAGCTTTTAAGAACTCAAGAGAAGCAGTGGTTGATAAACAATCCTGTCAAAATGTATTTGTTTATTTAAAACATTTATATAGCTTCCTACCTTAGAACCAACTTTGGGCATATTCCAATGTTAAAACAGCATAACAACCACATTAAAATTATAAAAATGAACACATTAGGAACACAAACCTGACACCAAATCAAACGTATGAAGTGCAGTCACCTAATCTTATCCAGCCCTTGTGGAGGAAAGTTTCAAAGCTTTGAGGAAAGCTAGGAGTATAGAAACCTGCTGAACTTCAGGGGAAGTAGGTAGGGACTGTCACAGAAAAGGCATGCTTCCTAGCCCCAATCAATGGCAATATTTCATGGGAGCTAAGGGAAGGAACCAGGAGTGTGTCCATCCTATCTGACCTGACTGAATGAATGGAAAAACTTCCACAAATTAGTTAGGTAGAACATTTGTTTCTTATTCCCTATATTTAGTAGGAAATATAATAGTAAACTTTCTGATTACTGAGGGCAGGAATATCCAGTTATATTCCTGTTGGTTTTTTTACATTTAAATCATTTCAATCTTTTATTACTCCAGGCCAAGCAAGAGCTTCTGCATTAAAGCCCTTTTCTTTAATAATGCAAACTTCAGTATTTCCTGTGCCTTGAGATATGGCAATGAGCTTTATAAATCTACCACAGAATGTCTGTGCTGAGAGGGACTGGAAGAGGGAGAGCAGGAGATGCAAACAGAAGCTTTAACAAAGGATCACTTGAAGAGAAACTCCTGAGTAATGGCTTTGCCCCAAGCCAAGAACAACATCATCTCCATGTCAGCAATTAAAAGAGCCAGGCATCATGGCCCTCTTCACACAAGTTAACTTACAAGGTTACCCAAGCACAGTCCCCTTGCATAGACATTAAAAACATGCCTAGTATTTCTCCTTCACTGAAAGTTGGAAAGAGCTGAAAATGAAGGGAGAAGCTATATGAGCAGACCTCACAGAAATTATCAATCTATTGGAGGTTTCTTTTTTCTTCCCTTAGCAGTTTTCTGTCCAAAATGTTTTAGAAAACCACAACAGGAGTTCATTTTTGGCTTTCATCTACACGTAATGATCAGAGTTTGGGGTAGAGGATTTTTGAAAACATAAAGCTAAAAAAGTATGCTAGAAAAACCATACATTTGCACAATAGATTCAAGTATGATCTCATAAAGAAACAAAGCCATACTTGCTACATGGAAATAAATTGTGCAGTGTTAGCTAAAGTTACTATTTATTACAAGCTAAGAAGGGCTAGCTAACATGAAGGGTTAGCTAGCCCTACTTATTCATTATTCTAGGCACAATGAAAAAAACATGCTAGTTAAAATAATTTCATGCATACTTAGTAATATATTTTCCAAGCTTTTAACTTATTAAAACTAAAGTAATACATGAAAGAAATCAGACAGACTGCAACTATATTGAGGAAGAAAACCTATTTTTACAACAGTGATTAAGGTGTTGGATTAGGAAACAAGAGATTCAGGATCCAGCCTGCCTTTAACAAAGAAGCCCACTAAATGACTTCGGACTAGTCATGCTCTATCAGCCCAGCCTACCACACAGGGTTGCTGGTATGGGGAAAAACGGGAAGAGGGAATACCCTCTTAAGCTTCTGGATGAAATGCAGGATATAAATTCTAATAAATATAAACCAAAGAAAAAAGAAATTTGGCATTATAGGACACAAAATCCAATGCATCAATCAGTACAAAAATCTACAGGGCTGTGATTTTGATAGAAACCCCAGTTTTGTTATTTTAATTTTCAAAATTGACCTGGTTAGAAACAGTACATTCACCAGTAACATAAATTTCTGTGTAGAGCAGGGGTCTCCAACCTTGGCAAATTTAAGCCTGGAGGAGTTCAACTCCCAGAATTCCCCAGCCAGCTTTGCTGGCTGGGGAATTCTGGGAGTTGAAGTCCTCCAGGCTTAAACTTGCCAAGGTTGGAGACCCCTGGTATAGAGGTATCTGTCCCTACCGCCTTTTGTTGCTTCTTGGCTTCTTGTGCAACCTAGATGCTGTTCTTTCTCTCTTTTCCCACTCTTTCTTTATATGTTGATATAATTACTATGCAAATCAAAATATAGGCAATCCTTGCTTAATGACCATTCATTCAGCGACCATTTGAATCTACAATGGTGCTATAAAAGGAAACTTACAACTGATCCTCAAAGTTCCAGCCATCACAGCACCCTTGCAGTTACGTTATTTCAATTTGGGCCCTTGGCACTTGATGATGGCCGTATCACAGTCAGATGGCCATTATTTGGTCACCTGGTGATACAGTGGTTAGAATTGTATATTGCAGTCAAACTCTGCCCACAGCCTGGCATTCGATCCTGATGGGCCTCAAGATTGATTCAGCCTTCCATGGATGGTAAAATGAGGATCCAGATCATTAGGACATTATAAACTGCCCAGAGAGTGCTGTAAAAGCACTATGGGGCAGAATATAAATCTAAGTGCAATTGCTACTGCTATTTGTGACCTTCTCTTCCAGCTTTCCGCAAGCAAAATTAATGGGAAGGTCACAAGTCACTCCATAAGTTGCTTGTGTCCCTCTCCCACCCTGACCCCACTGTACTTGTGTCACGCCTTGCAACCTGCTGCGCAACCCCCATCCTCACTTTACAACTGCATAGCTTAGTGATAGAAGTTCCAGTCCCAAATACCATGGTTACTACTTATATATCTAAGCAAACTTGCGTGATTTGTACAAAATTCCTCAGATTCTAATTTTTACCATATAGCCTATATATTTTCCAAATAATACACAGTCTCATGCATGCATCTTAGTCACCTGATGCCGTGCTCGGCTGTGGTCCAAAAGTTGCCGTGACTGAAGCTTCTGTTGTTGGAGCTGCTGCAAGGCAAAATGGAGCTGATAGCTGCCGAGGCTTGGTGGGGTCTTGGGATGCACTGCTTGGCTTCCTATCAACTTACTATGTATGCTGTTCTCTGTATCCCCTTCCCAGGCAAAACTGTCAGAGTGCAGTGTCCTGTAAGGAAAACAGTTTCATTTAAATGTTTACAGTGACAGTGTAAAGTCTGAATATTATCTTTTTTTTTCCCTTGCTGACCTAAAAATTACAAAAATGTTACCAGTCCTACAACAAGAAACATTACAGCCTTCACCATAGCCTGCTAATCAAAGAAAAGGGGTATACCATGAACACCTCTTGGGGTAAGGATCCTTTTGTGCTTACCATGAATTCCTCTTCTTAGGGGCATAGAAAATAACTCATTGCTTTGGAAACATAGCCTCTCTTTGAGTCAGGAGGCAGAGTCTACTGCAGCTTCATTTGTAGTTTAGCTTTGCTTATTAGGGATCATTATCAAGGAAGTTTAATTTTTGAATTGTGTAATTTCTTGTTAGCAGTTGAATGCATAGTAGGATTTGACAGTGTATCAAATTGTGATACACATCCAAATTCTGCCCCTCAATAAGTTCAGAAACTTATGAATAAGCATCAGTGGAGATTCTCCATCATCCAGGTCATGGGTTGTCCCAAAGGTGCTTTTCCAAAAGGCAACTGGAATTTCTTGGGTTTTTTCTTTGAAAATGCTTTGCTTTTCATCCATGATTACTTATTACGAAAAAGTAATAACATTAGCTACCACAATTTATACGATGGAAGAACATATACTAAAAATGTATTGTATTCTAGGAGGTCTCAAGAACAAGACAATTTCAACAAATGCCATTCGATAATCTCAAAATAGATTTGCAGGTACAGAAACTGCTCAGATTCCTGGATTGTAAATTTACTCAGCCATGCTTTCATATTCCATATTCCTGCCAGATGTTCTACCCTAGCTGATCCCTATTTGTCTGCTGTGGCTCAGAATATACAGGCGTATTATTGTAGAAATCATTATATTATCCCAGACCTTGTAACATAGTTTTGCTGAGGAAGTTTTCCTCAGACAAATACACATTGATTCTTCTAGAATGTCTGAACTAGGCTTTTTTTTTAAATAATTCAAACCAATTGAGGTTTTCTTCATTTGTTTTAGCTCCGTGTGCCCAAAGTATTCATCTTGAACACGCCTGTCCAATGGTTTGGATCACCTCAAGGATAACCTAGAGTGACCTTCTTGGCAACTGTTTCTCTTCCAACCATTGTATTAATTTGGGGATCTATTATTGAACTTGTGAGGCTACCATCCAATTGCCTTAAATACGGTAATAGAAGGACATATTGTATCTGTATTAATCAGTATCAAGACATGATGTCCAACATGCTAAAACATTAACCTAATCAGCTTCCCACAAAGCACCTGTTCCAGAGTTGAAAAAGACATGGAATATGATAGTGTTTCATGTAAAATACCCTAGAGAGCCATTTTTTGTTTGGAAATTACTCAGTTTTTCCCCAAGTATTGCATATGAAAAATCCATAAATATTCTCCTAAATCAAATGGGGTTGTATACCATCTTGGCTCTTGATCATGGCTCTAGAACAAATCATGAGGTTTGTCAGGCATAGAAAAAAAAAAGTTTCTCCTCAAGCGATGAATGTGATCAGAATTTTGATGAACTTCCCAATCCTCAACCTGAGCCCAAAAGAAAAATCTATGTGAATCAACTAAACTCTCTGTAGAAAGAAGAGTAAATGAATACTGAGAGTCCAAAGGATGCTAGCTGGTCTTGTGATTTAATAGTTGATGTTTTGGACTGGAATTGCTTCTTCCTGAAAACCTTTTTATAAACCTATTTAAAAATATCCATATCTGCACAAATCTAAAGCACCTCTGTTTCCTGCGCAAAATAACTTACATCCCAAAGTTCCCCAAAGTATAAACGTTAAACAAATTGGAATAAGTTGTTATATCAAGTTATATATGTGTGTGTGTTTTCTTAAGTAACAGTATTCTGCCAGCCATGACACTGGCATTAGTTTGGAATTTATTTTTAATTAGTGTTGCAAAATAAAGTACAGTATATTCTCCTCTCTCCCTCCTTCCCCCCTCTTTCCCTCCCTCCCTCCCTTCCCCACCCCCCACCCTCTGCAAAGGTCCAAATTGCAAAACCACAGTTTGGAAATTATAGTTGTCTGAATGAGATTCAAAAGCACTTTTACTATTTAGATGTGGATCACATGGATTATATGAGGATGCATAGTATATGCTAACAAGTAAAAAAGAGAACATCAAGATAGAACAAAGAAGTGTGTATGTGGGTATCCAGGTTATCAGGCCTCAGAAAGCTAAACTTGAATTTTTCTCATTCATTATATTAGCATTAATATTTTTTCAGAAAAAAGTTTTTCAAATAAGCATTTTTTTTCTAAAGACAAAACCACTACAACCTTGCTCTCTGGAGAGAGAGTCCAGCTGTGAAATACAATGCTATGTCAGTGGAAGTTTCACTGTATTGCTTTGAAGTCTGACTTCATGAGCTTTGCAGTGGTATTGCATTCTTCTAGAGCAAGCACATTTGTTCAGTGCAAAACAGGTGGTAGACTGACAGAGCTCGCATATGAAGCAGATCATAAGATCCAGTAGTTCCTGGAATGCAAACCAATTTTAAAAATTGTGATTCCTTCTATTGCCTGTGTACTGTCTTTCTTTTTTTTTCGCTGTTATACTTTTTATTCTTGCTTTTTAAAAATATTTTCACAGTACAAATTTGTTTTCTAAAGGCCAATAAAGTTAACAAGACTTCTAATATTAATATTATCAACGCGATTCTCCCATTGGGCCCGGTCTATCAAAACACAGATCACATAGGAAAATTTTGTTTACTATAATGTCTTCCCTCCCTCCTCTTGAGAGAAACTTGTATGTCATACAAAAAGAACTGTCGCTCTGTATAGGTAGTCCTCCACCTACATTTCATTTATTGACCATTCAAAGTTACAATGGCACCAGAAAAAGTAATTTGTGACCCTTTTTCATACTTAAGACCTTTGTAGCATTCTCATGATCATGTGATCAAAATTCAGATGCTTGGCATGACTGCTGCTGTGTCCTAAGGTCATGTGTGATTACCTTTTGCAAACTTTTGAGAAGCAAAGTCAATGGGGAAGCCAAATTCATTTAACAACCGTGTTACTAACTTATCAACTGCAGTAATTCATTTAACAACTATGGTCAAAAAGTTCTTAAAATAATACAAAACTCACTTAACAAATGTCTCATTTAACATCAGAAATTTTAGGCTCAACTATGGTCGTGATTTGAGACTACCTGTATTTGCAGTGACCTGGAAATTGAAACGGTGAGTCATGTGTTGCTTTTTTAATAGAAAACTATGTGATAGGTATACTTCCCCTGTATATAATACAGTATACGGGCAGGCTGGAAGCCAATTACTATACTCTTATTGCTAGTTGACCAGTGGTAGGAATTTCACACAATGTAGCCCATTTTTCTGCCAGAGGCATGATTAAAAAACAACCCCTTCAAGTGAGGTGATGCTGAACCTTAATTGGGGTTCCATAACGAAGTGTATTTTTTGCTTTTTCTCTCTCTTTCCTCCTCCCCCTTTTTTTCTTGTTTCCATTTAAATATGCACATATCATTTTATGTTTTATTTTGGTATTTCTTTGTTAATAACAATTTTCATTTGTCAATTACAAAAGAGCACATTGCTTGGATTTGCACCAATACTACATAAATACATTGCAAAATCCTAGGTTCTTGGGAAGAACTCAGTGCAGATGAAGGCCAACACCAGCTAAAGAACTAGCAGCTGTTGTTACATAATTGTGTATGTAATAATTCATTAAATTTATATGCCACTTGACTCCCAAAGACTGGGATATTTACAAGTGTTCAAACATTTAAAAAACAGCAAGTACCTAAAACACAAAACAGCACAAGACAAAAGGGCAACAATGGCAGAGAGGAACAGAAAAAAAGAGGGGGCAGGCATCAATTATTCTCACCAAAAGCCAGGCAAAGAGCCAAGTCTTTAAGGCTCTTCAAAATCCCAGTAAGGTGGAAGCTGTGATGACCCAGGGCATGGCACAAAAGTAAGACAGCCAGGAAACAGGTCTAACTCCCCTTTATTGCTCCAACTGTGCCCCCAAACATTCCCATATTCACTACACGTCCTGGAGCAAAACTCTCACATGCACCTTCAGAAGCCTCTGGTTGTGAGTAGTCCAGTAAGCCAGGTTAACCAAACAGCAACCAGGCCAGCAGTCCAATAAGCCAGCTTAGCCAAACAGTAACCAGAGCAAGAAGTTCAGAGAAGCAGACAAACTGGCAAGCCCCACAAGACAGAGCATAGCAATCTCCAGGAGTTGGTAAGTGTACACGAGGCTCTACAGATTCAACACTTCTTCCTGACAAATTCCCTTCCCACCGGCACATCTCAGTCCCCAGGTGTGCCTTGTGAAAGGGGACAGGGCACTCTCCTCCCTCATAGCCAGCTCAATCTGCGTTGATCTCGACGTCTCTCTTCCCTCCTTGCTCTCGGATCAGGAGGTCTTACTAATTCAAAAAAGCTTTGCCCGGATAGACTGCCCTTCCCCATTTTCCTCGATAGCCAACGGAGCCACCCTCTCAATCTCTGTCAGCTCGTTTCAGATCATCTCCCCCCGCAGATTCAGACTCCAATGGAGGCATGACAGAAGCCATTCAAATTGGTTGAACCATAATTGTGTTTAATCCCAACAAACCCTAGCATGGCTTCTGCAAATTTTAGTCTTAATATAACGTAGCAGATTTACATCTTCATAGCATTTTATAAATTCTAGTATTACTTATGGCTATCTATCCTGTGTTAGGTTTAGCTTTATTATAAAAGTAACTGTAATTTTATAGGATTTTTTTGTGTTTTGATTCCTATACTTTGTAATTTTCCTTAATAATTTTATTTTTACATCATTTTTTCTATCAATATGACAATATGATTTATTTCTATTTTAGAGTAATTGTTATGTTATTAATTCTATGCTGTTCTATGACCAAAATAAATTGTCTCTGTTTTCCTCAGGCATTTACATCTTTAATTCAAAGCCTAGAACAGGGGTCCCCAATTCCCAGACTGGCACTGGGCCGTGGCATGCCAGCAATTGGACCACGCAAACAAGCGTAGCCCCATCCAGAGGATGCAGGCAGCACGCATAACCACAACCTCTCTGGTCTGCAGAAAAACCTTTCTTCATGGAACTGGTTTCTGGTGCACAAAAGGTTGGGGGCTGCTGGCTTAGAAGAAAGAATATCTATTACTATACCAGATATTCTAAATTAATTGGGAAAATAATCTATACTATTTCCTTTTCTTTTATAGCTCTTGCTCTCGAGGTTTACTCCTGAAGCCTTTTCCAATACTAGATATAGCCATAAGGCAGTGGAGGTTTGAAATCAGAGTTTCCCTTCTCCTAGAAGATGGTTCTAACGTTTTATCTGCCGTTGGGACATAAAGCCCTCTTCCACCTTCAAAACTATTGACCATCTTCTCCTATAACCCTGGAAAAGGGCCCTTACGAGGTGCTACCAGCCGGGCCAGCTGGACTAGGATTTTTTAAGGAGGTATTACTCCTCCAGCATTCCTCCTCACTTCAGGATGCCCAGCTCGGCTCCATTTGCAGTGTATATATACATTTAAACTTTCAGCAAGCATGGCATACACCAATACGCTCTGCTGGGGACCACAAATACTTCAGCGGGCATGCTCAGCTCTCTAGCAACATGTCCAATGTTACACTGGCAGCAAAAGCAACACAAAAACAGGCCCATTAAAACTCCCAGCCTGCCTCACTCTTTTGCCTCTAACGGCACACGGCACAGACAATGAAGCTCTCCCCCCCCCACACACACACACATCTCATGTGTGGCCAGTGCCAAAGAGGCAAAATCCAGAGCCGGAGTCCCGGAAGCAGTTCATGACTTTGTACAATCACGTTCTGGTAACTCCTGCGATGCAGCTGGAACTAATCGTATTGGCTCTGCTGTTCCCTTAGAGTAATTCAGTGACATGGAGAGGGGGGATCTGCTGCTTGGGTAACAGTTTATCCTCCATATTAAATTACTCAGGCCTCGTGCTCTGGAGAGGACACTCCAGCTTTGCATACAACATTGAAACAACATGGGAAGTGGCAGTTACCGGTTTCATAGCACAATACCATAGTCTCGAGACTGAAGGATGCCAATTCAATAGCTCTTGCTCTAAATCAGTGCTGTTAAATCTCCTAGCTAGGGCTGGTAGGAATGGCAGTTATCCTTATCCGGAAGACCATAAGTTTCCTGTGTCTAAACTCTAGAAGAAGGTATCTTTTTAGCTGTTTCTATGAATGCCTCAGTCTGTGTCTAATAAGTCTGAGAACTTTGTAGGAAAACAAAAAAAAATCTCGTAATTTGATTTCTGAACTCGAATATGTAGGAGAAAATCTGGCAGAACTTTCTTCCTCAGAATCAATTCTAGATAGCATTTAAAGCGTCACTTTTTTTAAGAAATCATAGTAGAAAACAACAAACCACGACTGAAAAATCTATTCCCTTCTGTAAAGCTTGAGGAGGAGCCACGGAGTGATAATCATAGAAGAAAAAAGAAAGAAATATGTTTCTTACCACAAGCTGTAAAGAAAAAAAAACCAGTTACTGTAATTTATAAGTCCTACAATAATACCAGGGACAAGCCTTCAACAGGCACTAATTACAAAACTGCGGTGAATATTTTAATGGACAACTGTATCCGCTGTGACAAAATTTCTACTAACTTCTGTTTATGCACTTGAAGATCATATAACATTTTCTTTGGTAAAGCCCACCCCTCCTCCAGCCCAAACACTGGGATGTGACTTCAAGCTACTGGAAAAATGATAATTAAACAAGATCCCAACGGGATAGAGACTCTGTCCCTGAAAACAGGCTATCCGCTTAAAGACATGAATTTTGCTTAAGTTACAAAAAGAAAGCCAAAGTTTCTCCAACTATTTTGTGGGATGCCCAAAGTTCAGCTTGTCAATGCTACATAACATGAAAAATATCCCACAGCTATGAATGTACTGAAAATAGGCATGCATGCACGCCATTTGTAGTTTCCTTAGTGCATAGCATGAAAATTGCCAAAGACCTTTACTAAAGAAGGGAGATTTGCAAAAACTATTCTCCTCAGTTTCAGACAGCATACTCTTGATATATGGACTGTGAAGAGGCTGACAGGCAAAAAAACCCAAAACCATAGATTACTAAATTTTGGAAAAGTAGAAAAACATTTAAAACTCTTTGGGATATATATACTTCATACAATGTATGTCATAAATCTTCAACATTAATTCATTTTCTTCAGGGTATAGCTCTAATGCAAAGGAAGATGAAAAATACAAAAACCAAAGAAATTGCATTTTTTCCCTACTAGAAAAGGATCATGGACACCTTACTAGAACTCCTCACATTGAGATGGTGTGCTCCTTTTTACCAGGACAAATTGGAGGGAACAAGGACTACTATAGCCCCCACAAAACAGCTATCAAAGAGCCTAATTGATAGGCAAAACTAGAAAAAAACCCTTGACACCAGGATCAAAGAAGTCAAGCTAAGTATAACCTTTCTGTATGTATCCTATAAGCTCAAAGGATATGAGACAATGTTACCACAAGACTGCTTTCCTACCAGAAAGATATATTTCATAAATTTTCTGATTATGCATTTTTAGTATATTTGAATGCCAGCAAAATAAAAAAGTAACTCCTAGCAGTTTGTATCATTAAAAGATACACAAAATAAAACACTAACCTTTAAAATAACCAGAAAGAAATATTATAATGCAATAAGCACAACAATGACCATTCATTCTCCAAACACTCTCCAGAACTAAGTTGAGTAGCCTCCACAAGTCCAACCATGAGGCTAACCTAGCAACCATAGCATCTGCTGGCATTTCATTGGATTCAAATCTCAGGAAGGATATCTGCATAATAAGACAGTGAATATCTCCATTTTGTCTTCCCATATTGAACTGGAAAATCAAATTAATATTAAAGCAAACACGGCTGATTCTAGATCAAAGGATAGCACCATAGACTGTAAATATCAACCTCTGTTAAGAAAACTGAGATTATCCTTTTGCCTAGTTTTTGGGGAAAAAGTGGAGACGCCCTGAGTAAATTTGCTGGATGCTATATAATCTACCTTCTGTATGGAAATAATGATGGATTTTTCCATTTCCATTCTGAAGCAATTCTTGCTAAGTGGTTTCATAAGCTATTCTAGATCCAGGATTGCTTTTATGTCCCTGTGTTTCTTGGGAAACAAGGAAAATATTGATCCGATTATAGAAATTTGTTGGAAATGTGGTACTAGCACGTCTTTCAAATCTTAAATGTTGGATTGCACACATGAAGATTTCACACTTTGTTTGATCTCTGCTTGTATCTTGGCTTACCCCAAAAAGCATCCTGTGTGGGATTTTCCATATGAAGAACTCATTCTGGAACAACTTTTCAAAGTATAATCTATTCCAGAAGAGGTAGGAATAAGGACTCTTGCTGAGAATGCCATAGCTCTACTACTCTTAGTAAGGAATGGAGCTTGATATAATAGCCATCTCCTTCCTTCCTTCCTTCCTTCCTTCCTTCCTTCCTTCCTTCCTTCC